AAATCCTTGTTTTACCTTTCAGCTGATATATAGTGGCATGGTAGAAAGATAGATTTCAAATAATTACACTAGTTGGGTTGAAAATGATTTCATTAACATAATTTAAAGATATACATAAGTGTTTGCATGCCGTTGCCCAGAGTTCTTATTTTAATTTTACTGATGCTTTTTCAGCAAGAAATGTCTGGTTGCAGTATCATAAATGTTTTCCTTTACAGGGTGAAAAAGGAGCTGTTGGTGATCCAGGACCAAGAGGACCATATGGTTTACCTGTAAGTCATAAGTTGGTTGATTAAACACCTTCAGTTTTGATGTACCTATGTAAGGGCTTATTAAACACAAGCTGGCAAAAAAAGAGTTTACTTCAATGTGCCCTACACTATACAAAAATGCCTCTTCTCTGGGATGGCATCTCAAGACTGTTGTGATTACAGCCTGAAAGCAACACTAGTAGCACTGGATCCACGTCACTCCATGTTTTTAAGCAGCAATATAAATATATATGTTACTATGAGGGTTATTCACAAAGCTGCCGAAGGCAGCCAAGTGAATAACCAACCCAAAGTGGAGTGAGCCGAACGCTGTTCAGCTATTCATTTTAGGCTTGTACGGCTGATTTCAGCCGTACATCGGCTTGCTTCGGTTGGCTTCGGTTCAGCTGAACATGCTTAGCATGTTCGGTTGAGCCGAAGTGCAGAAGGAGTTCGACTCAGCTGATCCAACATCCACCAGGAGACTCCTGGACTTGGCTGCGACTGAAGTGGATCTGTGAAATTATTACATAGCTGGTGTCAGTAAAGCAGCCCCTTATGTGTTTTGGGTGAGAACCTGTCTGGTGCTGGCCCTTATTTGTAAAGACAAGAATAGCCTAGGGGCAATCCCACCATTTTCTAAGCGTCTCCTGTAAGATATTGTGCGAACTGACATTACCTATAGTTATGAGTTATCCATGGCTGTCATTAAATGATTTACAGTGCTACTTGTTATCTGAGACTGATAAATAAATGTTCAATAAAACAAATATATTTTGCTAATGAAATCAGAGGAGCAGCAGATTAAAGTCATGAGTATTGTGTGTGATTATTTTCACAGGGTAAAGACGGGGAACCAGGTCTTGATGTAAGTTATTTAATATACCAGAGTTTAAGTAAGGCATGGGTATTTGCATGTTTTATGTGCATACTATGAAACATTTCATATACATGTTTATATTGTCATATTTTATTTTGCCATGTTCAATGTCTTCAAACAGCTAAAACAAACTCCAAATACTGTATATAAAACAATAATGATAAATTCCCTTAATCTAATGAAAGGCTTTAACTATAATACATTTAGTAAGCTTATGTTTTGCTACAACCATGCCCGGAGTAGATAGCACTGCATCACATAAATCTTATGCTAAAACTCCATACCACATTCTGTGTTACGACAGGAAGTGCACTGATTTCTAATATTCTTGTGTATGGACAGCTTGCACACTTTACTTGCTGGTGAAGAAATCTATAAAAATATGAACATCACAGAATAAAGATTAGACAGTGGCATTTATCAAAATAGTTAAAGGAGAACTATGGGGTCAGGGCTTTTCCCCATAGTTCTCCTTAGGGTAATGGGAGGACACAAACTAGCGTCCTCCCGTCACCCTAAGCTCAGTATACCGCGAGCTTACTGAGACGCCGCAGCCAGAGCGGATCCCGACATCGATGTCGATATCCGCCCAGCTGCGTGAGTGACAGCTGGCTCTGCCTATCTAGAGGCAGAGCCAGCTGTACCCACCCCCTCCCCGTCCGTTCCGCCAGTCAGCACTGGTGGATCGGAGCGGGGAGGGGGGAATCCATCCCCTCCCCTGTCACGGCAGAGAGCTGTGACAGGATCGAGAAGTGAGCGAACACCGGAATGTGTTCGCTCACCTCCCGATCTACTGAGCCGACCTGTGACAGTCTCATTGTCACAGGTCGGCTAGAACTATGAGGTGAGTGAAAAGCACTCACCTCATAGTTCTCCTTTAATGTAGGGCCGGACTACTTGGTCATGTAAGCCCAACTCTTTTCCCATCTTACTTTATGGAACTTGATAGCAGCAATCATCATTAAGGATTAAAGAAAACCTGTCATTAAAATAAAACTCCTAACCCCCTCCCCCTAACCTGTGCTGGGCACCCTCAATTTTCTACACTTATATTTACCATGGCAACAATGGCAACAATTGCATACTGAATGGCACACCCACCCCAATGTGACAGCACTGGATCTGGTGATTGGCACTGCACGGTGGAGGGAAAGGTAGCGTGACACACACCAATGATGGTAAAGTCTAGGCAATGGAGGGTGCATAGCACAGGGTGGGGTGCAGATTTGGGCTTTTGTTTTTTCCTGAAAGTAAAATCTAGTCCAGACTTTTGTTTTAGTTTTGGATAGTGTATGGAAGGGTTAGAGCATCTCTCTCTGATTTTATTTCTGTCTCGTGTTCTAATTGGGAAGATTGCATTTTACTTACTGTGTAGTCACTGGGACAACGCATTAAGGAAATCTTTGCAATGGGGAAGTAAACGACAATAAAATATACTTTTTTATCATTATAGAGGTGAAAGTTTAGAAGCTCTGTCAGGTACTTAATGGTTTTGGTCACCACTCGAAGTGAGGGTAAATCTCACCAGCCGGGACACAGACAACAGTAATACGCAAAGGTTCTAACCCTTTCCCTCTCTATCCGAAGCTAAAAACAATAGCATGGGGTTCTACTCTAGGCAATTAGTAACTTGGCCCGTAGTCTGAGTGCAAACAGATCACCTTAGTAATCCTTTACAGTCACTGGCTGTCATTACTTTTTTTGAAGAGTGATTGTTGTAGTTACTTAAATAAATAACAAAATACCACCAATAGCAACAGGCCTGTCGTGCCTACTGTTAAATCTATCTCTGGCACATTATATAATGAATGGTGGCCTATAGTAGCCATATTCTGGCTGTCATTTTCTAATGTATGTTTTAAAATAAAAGCAAGTTTCCAAATGGCAAACTATTTAATTCTCAGTTTTATACCTGACTTCCACTTTGCCATAACTAATTATAAAAAAATAAATAAAAGCACATGATTTTCAGTGAGCATTACTTTCAATAAAGTATTATTGTTTACAGTAGGAAGAAGCAGCACAGTGCTGTCACTATTATAATAGGTGCTTGCTTCATTTTTCTCACAAACTTTTCTTGGTATATGTTGGCTTGGCACTAAGCTCCCTCCAATGCATCCATTAAATTCAGTCAGACAAGGTCATTTTGTATATTGTTTCAGGGTTTTCCGGGTCCTCGAGGAGATAAAGGTGACCCAGGAGAAAGGGGAGAAAAGGTGACTGAAGTGAATGTTAACGTGGCAAGCTTGTCCCTGAATTTTCCTGACCTTATCATAGGCGCTATAAATCCAGTCTTATTCCTGTGTGCCAAGAGCTAGTGAGTGCACATTGACCTCTTCAGTAAATTGAGCTGGGATGGTCAGTACAAACTGCTTAGTCATTTATATTTACTGACAAAGCTGCTGGGATAAACAATGCCTGGTATCAGTTAACTTTGCAAGGAACAAATCATTTTATGACAGTGTCCATTAACTGGAGTCATACGCAATCAGTTTTCATAAACAACAGTTTAAAGCACACTTTATTTTACTGTTACTGTTCTGTCCTTTGGGCTTACACCACAGATTAAAATGTATTGCCTTTTGAGTTGCCTAGTTACATAAGCCTACTTGAAGGAAAAAAGAGTAAAAAAGAACACAGCTAGACATAGACCACTATATCAACAAAATAGGGAATAGTGATAGAAAGTTGGATAGATAGATAGATAGATAGATAGATAGATAGATAGATAGATAGATAGATAGATAGATCGATAGATAGAATTATTCCCTATCTACATATCACAAACTTACAGGAACATGTAGGGTAACAACTGACATTTTGGTGATCTTCACTTGAGAGTCACAATGAGCCATTAAATATGAATCAAAATTGGGCCACCCTTGGGTTTCAATAAAATGAGGGAAAATTATCAATACAACTTTGGCCTTTAGGTCCATGCTTATTTTTTTCTATTTTACATGTGTTTCATAAAGTTCATATAATATACAAATTTTTGCAAGGATCACCTGCAAAGTAAGGTGCACCATGAAGAGAAGCATACTGTAGATTAGTCAGCAAAGATTTTGTTGTTGGCACACAGGAAATATCTGGTTCCGTTTAACTATCCTATAGTGTAATCAGTATCTAACAATACTACCTTATAAAATGGCTCTCTTGTTTTTTAAGTGCTGTTTTCCCTGTTTCATTCTTTTATTGCTTTTGTTTTGCCTTAATTTATCACAAATCACCCTCATTTAACATTGTATGATCAACATTGTTCAACTGTCTTGTGACACCTTGCTTTCCAGTGGAGCATTCCCTTCTCCTCCTTATACCAATGTACTCGCCTGTAACTTTACCTCCTTGACTCTTTTTTCCTTCAGACTTTCCCTTCAGCAACCTAACTGGTTTATTTTAGAGATAACTGTGCACTTACAGCATTGGATATAATTAATTATATTCTGTTGCACATTTGGCACAGTGGTCTCAGAGTAATCCCCAAAGTCTTTCCTTGACTACTGTCCATTGTTTTACTAATATTGTGGCTTCCTCTCCCTCCCTTCCTTTTTTAATAGATAAATGGTAATTTATGCTTTTTTACAGCCTATTGATGGGTATGAAGGACATTTACCTATATGATTATATTTGTTGATTACCACTAGACTCATTTGCTCTATCAACTACTGGTATTCAACTAATACGTCTCAGAAACAATATTTGGATCCAGCTGATTAACATACAGTTTAGTGTAAGGTCATATATTTTAGAAACAGGTCTTTTCCTGACATGGCATCAGGTAGACTTGACTTGGAGCCCCCTTTAGGCACCAGTCAATGGTATACAGACTGCACATACTAAGAACACTGGAAAAGACAGAAATTGAGATATTATTCCAGATCATCCAGCACTGACAGTATTGGTATGGGCAGAATATGGTGATGATGTATCTAAATATAATGAACATTAGAAGAATAATGCAGCTCATAGCTACAAATACATGATCATAACAGTTTTCACAATGCTTTTTGAAATGTAAGGGTTTGTTGTTACAATCAGTATATAGTAGATCTTTTACTTAAATCGTTTATAAATGCACCCCTTTAACGGGGCATTCATCAAAGGAAACTTCATTCTGTGTGAATGGAGGCAAAAACTAATGTTCTTAATATATTTTCTTTTCAAGTCAAATAGTATGTATTCATAAATACACCTCTGTGTATTTCTGCCAAATTTGGGAAACCCCCACTATGTTTGTCCCTATTCACGCAGCATACCTAAAAATAATGACAAAAATATTTTTTACCTTTCTGGTTTCTTTGAGGTAAGTGTATACATTGGGCCCTATTGGCAGCTCCTATTGTTTAAAATACCTTGCAATGTGCAAATAGGTGACAGATTTGTTTAAGTGCATTAGCATACAATGTATCACCCAAGCCTTGAGATCTTTAACCCTTAGTTAAGACAGACAGTGTGCACATCTAGTTTACAACTGTCAATGAAGATCTGCCAGCACAGAACAGACATGGTTAATTATCTTATATTTAACTCCCAGCCCCCTCCTTGACATTATTTAGAAGGGGAAACCTAGGCAGGATTTTAAGCAAGTTAAAAAGGTAAGCAGCAATTTCCAGTATTTTTTTAAGTTGTGTTATCTGAATAGGAGCATGTAACTAATATAAAGTAGGTGTTACCCCCAATGCGGCTGCAAATGTGGAAATAGACTTTAAAGTGTATCTAAACACAAACACACTTGGTGAAATGCCACTAAAACATTTGCTGTCCTAAGATAACAATGCTCATTCACCCTACTTTATAAGGACAACAGGAACAGGGTAGGTCTACTTAAATCTCCAACTCTCCTCTTCTCCACAACATAGATGGGTGGAGTTCTGTAGTCCTCAGAATCATGTAACTGATAGCAGCCAATACAGGCTGGGACCACGGGAAGTTATCAGTTTACCAGATTTCTGGCAAGATGAACCGGTACATTTTGCACTTCCCAAACAGATATAACAAAATGCTTCCAATGGCTTATTTAACAGCCCAGAAGGGAGCAAAAAGTAGTCATTTGTTGTTATGGTTTACATGCCATTTAATGACTGCACTGTAGCTGCAAATTCAAGTAAATACATTCAAACAACCAAACATCCAACCGCACACCATATGCTGCTGGAAACTTCTTGTATTGGAAATCGCACAGCTACACAAAGTCCAGCCTCAGGTCTTTGTATGATCTGACCTATTTATAAGGACAAATTATGTGGTCCCTATTATTGAACATTTGTATAAAGAAGATCCATCCTCTGTGTGGTCACAATCTATCACAGTTTTGATGAATTCTGAAGCACTATTGAAAAATTGGTTTGATTAGTTGCTATAGATCGTTGTGTATTACCCTTGCACTAGTCCAGAATAAATGCTATGGTGTCGGCAGCCTTTCTGCATGATTGGTCGCAACCATACTTCATTCTTTTAACACCAATATATATTCTGCACATATAATTGGGAACATGTTAACGAACAATGATAATTTCAAGGGAGAATATTTTTCACAATACACATTTCCCTCATATCATTAAGGACTTTGCTATATGTCAAACTATAATAATACATTTGAAGTAAATGATATGGATATTATCTTTCTAACACTGCCTTGGTAAATGTTCCTTCAAACCTTTCGTTTGCTGATAATTTTTATTCAATACTTTTGCTTTTTTTTTTATAAACCATTGTATCCACAGGGGGAAAAGGGAAAGAAGGGCAAAAAAGGGCCTAAAGGGGAAAAAGGAGAACAGGGTGCCCCTGGATTAGATGCACCTTGCCCGTTGGTATGTCTCATAAAACCGGTCCATCATGTCGAGGTTTCTAATGCATTTGGGAAAAAGCAAACATCTAGAAACCATCCTCCTTGGCATCACTGAATGCATCTGAATGTTTAAAAAATAAGTTATGCCAGAGCTGAATTTTTCATTCAGGTGGTATTTATTAAACAACTTAACAACCTGGCAAGTTTTTAGCTCCTATTATAAAAATGTGCATCCATTTTGAATATCAATATTAAGAATTGGTGTCTCAGATATGTCACTGATCTTTGGAGATTTAGTAGGTTCTATACTCATGAATACAGGAGGATCTTAGATGTTTGCTCTATCCCTTTCTTTTCCTTCCTCTTTTTTTGGTTTTCTACAGGAGAGATCACTGCAAAAGGATAATAATTTCAGTAACATTGCAAGTTAATTTTTACAAACAGGGTTTCCGTGGATTAAAGGGGGAAAAAGGGGAACCAGGTCAGCCTGGCCTGGATGGGCTGGATGCCCCTTGCCAATTGGTACAGTATTTCTCTTTCCTATCCTCCCTGCATGCGAGTCCTTGTCTTGGTAGCAAATGCAAAGGCCACTCCTGGAACATTTGCATTGGAAAGAATCTGCATGCTTCTGCATGAATGAAGTGCATCCCACTAAGTGATTAATGCTATATTTTCGATCCCACTTCTAGTGTAAACACTTACACCGTCTGTCCTTCCACTCCGCTGTTTTTCCTCAGAACGTTTTGGGAGCAGTCAAACACTGTCAAATTTGCCCACACTGTCACACATAACCCTGCAGTAAAAATGGATAACAGCTATAAAATAGCTTACTTTAGTAGCTTGTGGCAACCTTTATCCAAAGACAAGTAGGTAATCTATGTAGCGACGTAATAGCCTGCAGCCCAGTCCTTTCTATAGACACCCATTAAAACGGCTTAGTCTCCCTGTGAAACTTACTTGACCTTTCCTGTAGTTTTTTTTCACAGCTTCCTCTCCTCAACTCAGCATGAATCTTAAATCCTGCCCATACTAAAATGATACTAGAAATTCCTTTCCTTGTACCAATATGGCAAACATGGTTCTTTTATTTTTGTTAAGCTGCTTAAAAATCACTGAAGTCATCAATATGTAAAATAGATACTTAAAAATACATAGGTAGATCGAGTCAACTGTTAAATTATGTTAGAAGAACTACATATTTTATCTATTGTTTTTCTGGGGGAAAATTAAGCATGCATACTGCACATCTGTTTTATTTGTCTTTCTTGTACATATGGCATTTATATCTGGAGAATGCAAACTTTGGTATGATTTTAAAGACAGTTGCATTGCTAGTGTGCTTATCTGCTTGGCTTACGATAGTGAGCAAGTAAGTGTAGTAGGTAAATAATCATAGACTTTCCTATTTACATGGAGAAACTTACAGGGCATACTCCAGGTAAAAATGGCTGTTCATGTCTAGCCATCAGTTCATACAATCAGGTAGGTTTCTTTAAAAAGAGAGATTGCTTTGTATGATGGCAGGCTTTGAGCATGCATGGGATAAGCAGTTTTGCAAGTTACAGTATGTGATAGATGCCCTAAAATTATTTATAAATCCGACTTTGGTTATATAGAATAGTTCTACGCTCTAGTGTTCTTCACTAAACCACCTTCAGACTGAATTCACACTTGCATGGTGATCCGTTGGTAACACATTTTGTAAATTTGTAATGAAACCCCAATGCGGTAAACTACACACATGACCCTACAATGCACAGCAACGCAAATATGAAAATATGTGTTGTGGTGTCCTGCATTGGGCAACAGTGGGTCAGATACTTTTTGTTGTTGCAATAAACCTCCTTAAGAATCCACAAGAAATTAAAAAGGTGGATGCAACGTGCAGTAAAATATATTGCAGTGTGTGTTAAAAACGCCCACGCATAGGTGAGAATGGTACCTAAGTCTGTTACCTTGATTAGAAGGTCTCTATTTATTAGATGTATTGTTTCAAAAGCAAGCTAGAAGCATCGGGTAAAGGGTTATCTTGAGCTGTCTGAAAACAAGTATCTGCACACCAGTGAAATCAGTGAGAGATAGAGTAGATTAGAGGGGGTACCCATCCTATAGTATGCACAAAAACTTAGGTGCCCAAATCTGATGAAACAGAGTAGTGCTTAAAGAAGAGTAGAACTGCTTTACTAGTACTTGTCAAGTCCTTCCATTCTCTTTAGGGAACAGAATGTTGTAAGACTTAAAGTGACCTTGTCAGCAATTTCTAAGCGGTAATAGAAACTGTCCCTGTAAAGAACCTCTCCTGCCACTTGTGCCACTAAACACTGCTCCAATCAATATGACTAGCCAAGAGAACTTTCTTCTGAAACCGACCCTTCCAGGAGTGCTGTTCTACTGGACATAGTTAAGATATGATGGTCGGCAGGACAAATCAGAAGATTGACACACCCGGAAGTGTTGATTTCTTCGTCGACTTCAGACAACGATTCTTCTTGGTGTGAGGTTCAGCAGCATGAGCAGCAAGAGAGTTTCATAATTATTGATCTTTACAGGGGCAATGTTTTTTTGCATATGCAAATTGCTGACATGTATTTCACTTCTTATATTATGTCATTCAACACAGGCAGAGTGATATGGGACTTTCAGAGAGGTGTATTGAGATAAAGAGCTTAAGACAAAATACAAACTCTGCAGCAAGTATTATACATGAATAGCTATTCCCTTGTTTATGTGTCTAAAAGTAATGGATTAATGGATTTGGACAGCATTAATCAAAACTGATCTACAACTAAATTATAATTCTGTGTTACAGGAAACAAGCTAGCCATAATAAAAAATGCTTATTAGTCTGGCAGCGGCCCCTCTCTCCATCAATACTGGGTACCTCCACTCCTAATAGGAACTTATTTATCATTTTCAGCAAAGGAACCTATGAGTTACAAAGAAAAGAGCGAAATTCCCATCTATACAACTACTTAATATTATGTTAATTTAAGGGATCATTCAGACAAAGTGCTCTCATCCTTTTTGCCCCTACACTACACCACCACAGATGCATACATGCCTCCATCCCACTGTAATGTTTATATCCTGCTATAACATTTTCTTTGGCCACAACTTTATGGGGATCTGCTATACAGGCGCTACCAGTGCTAAAAATAATTTACAGATGAACGACAAAGTTAAGTATGCATTTGGGATGAGTGAGAGTGGGTAGTTTAGGGGAAAAGAGATAAGTGCACTTTGTTTGATTCTTGAAATATTTATTTTAGATTTTGACTGGAATGTCCCTAAGTATAGTGCAATTGGGTTTAATCATTGTATTCTTAAAAGCTATTTTTGCTATGTTGCTATCTTACCACTTGCTTTTGTTGAAGGTAGCCATTAATATTTTCTCTGAATGTACAACTGAAGCTATTTCAAGCTTGTTTCAGTTTGCCCATTACATGCAAATAGTTACTCTGAAATGAAAAAAATAAAATAAGAGTGAAGTGCGGACTAAGGGCTCATTAACACAGGCGTGCACATCCGTAGAGCGTGCATGACTGTGCAGAGACCTACTCTTGAGAACGACAGGTGCTTCGTGTAATTGCACGCATGCCAACCCAAACCGGCACATCCGTGCAGGGCCAGTTGTCCGTACTTGGACGCAGACAATATGTGTCCAAGTGCGGGCACCCGGACCTGCGCATACCCGCATCCTCCCATAGGAAGTCAAAGATGGCCGCTTGCAATTACATGCAGCACCTGTCCCACCCGGGAGCAGGTCTCTGAATGGGCATGCATGCTATATGGATGCACACGCCTGTGTGAATGAGCCCTAAAACTGCAATGCTTTCATTTGTCAAACTGTTTTGAATGTTGCACAAAATGAGGTATTGTTTAAATGTTTACAGTTTTTTAGTGCCGGTACTGTAGAAAATAAAAAATCAACATATGATCAACTCAGTAAGTTGGTCTATAGATGTTATGTGTAGATGATCATTATTTTAAACACATTATACCTATCTTGTTTAAATGTTATTTTTACATTTGATTCTTAACCATAAGTCATCTGTTGCATACATGCAATAAATGTTCTTTCTGCATGCTATATACATAGATATATAACATTCATGTACACTGTGTCATTGAAACAGGGACCAGATGGGCTTCCAATGCCTGGCTGTTGGCAAAAGGTGAGTATTGGCAAACATTTTGTAAAGGCTGACTACTCAAAACATTAATTTTACTTTTTTAAATACTGCATGTGTGCAAATATGACTGTTACAACAGTAGAAAACCACTGAGCATTTCTAGGGAAAAATTCTACTTATGAAGTGCATATTATTTTAAAATGAGGAGATGTTGAAGTCACTAAATACAAAAAGTAAAAAACTAGAAGGAAGAAGAAGTGAACAATCTAGGACATCATAGCTGAACTGGAAAGTGAGCTGAATTGGAGAATTTTTCCAAATCTGCTCACTTCTCTTGCCTTCTCCAAACTCTTCACCCTTTTATGAATAACCCTGTAAGTCTTAAACTGATCTCTGGGCAAGAGTTGAAAAACATATATGGCAGTGTATTTAGCTGCAAGAGAAATTGTATTTCAAACCATCCAATCCTGAGATTTACTCAGCTCTGCTCTACTACAGCTGGGCTGGTGACCTGACTATTCTCTGCTGATCACTAAAGCTAGGTCACATCTTGCCCCCAGTCAGTGACTAGACTCTGAAAGAGCAGTAGCAACTAATTCTTCTACTTTAGGTGTTTATTTCTAGCACACATACATGCAACACACCCTATTGGTGTGAAGTTCTGCCCCTCCCTGTTCCAGTCTTAGTGCTGCTGAGTGATCTATTTAATTTATTATGTAATGCATCATTTTTCTTTTCAGTAAATATTGTGTAAAAATTTAAATTGTTAAATGGAAGAGTACTCTACAATCATAATGGTACATTATGGCCACATGTATGTACTGTATGTGTATATAAGATATATCTGTTAAATATGAGAAATGGAAGGATAATTTTCCCACATGGGGAGAGAGAGGACACTGGTGTCCACTGTTCCAGGTGCCAAGTGATGCTTGTTGTGAATCCTTACACATGTTACATTCACAGTCAGGATTAGATCCCTGGGTTGTTGCTCATTCTAAATACCTTCTACTAAACACAAAGTTTGGTATTTGTGTTTACTCTGTATTGAGTGAGATGGAACCTTGCTATCTCCCCAAACTTTTGTTTGCTTATTAAGAATTACTTAGTTAGGATGAGCAAAGGAAAAGGAATGACCACATATTGGAGCATATTTTTGCACCTGGTACTGGAAACCAGGGCCAGGAAGACAATGTAAAAGTACTATTTCTGATAATTAAATGTAAATCATTTTTATAGACAGAAAAGAAAAATGCTCAGTGGAGTTCTTCTTCAATGTTCTAACAGCATGAAAAATCTTTTTAAAGTGTGCCCAAAAGCTTAGAAAATAACTAATACAGTCTTGACAACAGTGGGATTGTTTACATTATAGATTATCTATTAACTTAAAGTGACACCACCATCTTACCTCTGGTAAGTGACCTACAATTCGTATCTTCTCTATCATAGAGAGCTACACCCTTCATGGGAATCTTTAGCATTCAACACTTCCCGAGTGATGTATACTTGTGTCCCCCATCACATGCTATTGTTTTGTCCTCCTGTTCCTATGTCACTACAGGGCACGGTAGTGATGTAGGGGTTGGAGGATGAAACCACAGTGTTTGGCGGAGGACACAGATATCCAATACTCCTGGAAGTTTTGAATGCTGCAGATTCATTGGATAGATAAATATAATACCTCTTCTTCTAAAATGCCATTTTCTATCATTGTAAATAGTTGCTTGCACACAAGCAGAATAGTTACACCTTTACAGACTTCCTGGAATAATTTAGATAGTAAGTAAATATTAAAGCAGGCAGTTACTGAGATAGTCATCATTTAGTAGTACATTAACAGTGCTGAACAAAGCCCACATCCAAAACATGCTGTAGTGTGTCGAAAATGCAGTTAAATGCCACCTTACTCCTTGGGGTCTTTCTTCTTTCAGACTAATATTACTAAGCAGTGGATTAAATTAGCATTTTCAATACAATTGTCTTTAAGGATAATTGTCACAATACTACCAAATTTGGCAATAATAACTGCTGATAAACAAATGTAGAACCTACATATGTTTCATGCATGTAGGATTACTAAGGGGAGTAGGACACCTAGAACTGACTGGAAACTCCCAGCCATTGGCAGTATTCCATGCAGTCTCATCTCATCTCAAATTTAGTGCCCTATGCTACACTTTTGGATGGCTCTATCCTTCTCCCACATACACACACTCTTTTCTACTTTAGACCCCTTTCATACGGTGGTGGTTCGAGCAGGTCCGTCTGTCAGTTTTTCAGGCGGATTTGATCAGAAGCCCGATGTTCCGCACGACGGAGGACAAAACTGAACAGACATGGATGACACAAGAGTGACACCTGTTCTGATCTGATCAGCAGGAGATTCATGCATGGATCCCCTGCTGATCGGAATTGATGGCATCTGCGTGAAAGGGACTTTAGAAATTACTAGACATGTAAGCTGCAGAAAAATTTGGTTCGGATCTTTCGATATTTCGGGATTCCTATGCAAAATTCAATTCGGTTCAGGGTTTCAGATTCAGACGAAATCCGGATTTTCGTGAGTTTATGAACGAATATTCATTGTGACTACCACAGAAAACCATATACAGATATTAATACTAAAGCTGAAGCTCCTAGAACCGAATGGCATTTGGGAGTCCGAATTTCTGAATACCATTTGGGAGCTCCACAAAGCAATACTGGTCTGGGAGCCATATACATACACAGTATTAAAGCTGTGGCTTCCAGACCCGAATGGCATTTGGGACCTCCCGAATGCTATTCGGAAATTCGGACTCCAGCTGGAGCATCAGCTTTAGTATTATGTATATGTAATAAGTATTCTGTTTTACGAACAAATATTAATTGCGGTAAACATTGGGAGCCATATATACATAAAACTAAAGCTGAGGCTCCCAGAATTTGGATTCAGACCCATTCGGATGCATTAAAATGAAAAAACACACCTGATTGGCCAGAAAAGTCACATGTCTGATTCAATTTCGTTTTTAAACAAAATTCGGACAAGATTAGAAATTTCGGAAAAAGACATTTGGATTCGGGCACATACATTGGGATTCAGAAATTTGGATGTGTCCAAATGTCCAAATTTCGGGAAATTTGTACAAATTTCGATTCGGAATGAATCACACATGTCTAGAAATTATTTCAGAGTCCTCTTTCTGATAAAGTCCGACTGTCAATGTTGGCTTTGGTTGACTGTGGGTGCAGACCAATCAGAAGCAAACACTAGAAATCTGAAGGTGGGAGTTTGGAGAATCAGAATTCAGCAGCAGCAATCAGCAACTAATATAAAGTATATTGATTGGGGTTTTGGATAAACATATTTTAAATGATTGATCTTGTCTTAATGAAGAGGTCCTGAGTGATCCAACAACATTGTCTACCCATTGTACTGATACATCTTTACTATGGATTATTAGCTAAACCAAATTAATGCTGGCTTTGCACTTGTATGACTGTACAATTGTTTCAATTATTCCCTACTTCAGTGATGGGGGAACCAGCCTAGCTACCCCTAAGCAACCCCCTGATGCCAGCTGATTAGGATGCTCTCTCACACATACCTAAGGTTGGCTCTGGTGGGGATATATTTATTATGTGGAGATCTCATAGGGGAATGTTTGCATTGCATGCTGTATAATTACTGCCATAGACTTTGCAGGATTTGAGTAATCTTCAGTAAAAATGACTGCACTGTTTGGATTTGCCTGCACTGCCTGTCCACTCACAGCTGTTTTCCTGTTGTTTTTTTTTGCAGTGACAAGTCTAACCATGCAAGCATGAAGTTGTAAATAATTAAAACTGTGTATTTATAGATAAACATTTAAAAGAATTACATCATACGTTTACATATACCTGCTTCTACATGTCCATCATTTGTCTTCTTGCACAAGCTATTTGGCAGTAGTAAACACTGCTGATGGAATCTTCAGATCTGTGGAGTTACTTGACCATAAGTTTATATGACACTTTATATCAGTGCTTAGCTCATATACATCAATATGCTTGGCTTGTAAATGTCATGAAAGACCACGTGTCAAAGACATATCTCCATATAATGACAAATAATTCTTATTGCAACTCATTTCCAACTGAACCCCCATGCCAAATAGTACCAGTGATCTGTGTCGTCTCAATGTTTGTACAGACTAATGACATGCATGATGTTTCCGGAGTTTGCTGAGTGGTTGAACCTCACATGCTAGGTGATTGACCTTTGTGACTACCTACCCAATTCCCTTAACAAGTCACTTTCATTCAATTCAAGGGAGTAACACCATGGCTTATAGCAAGGAAGAGATAAGGCGGTTGAAATAAAAGAGCAATGTTATTCATTTTCGGAGATCCATCCAGCAATGTATCATCTCCTATTTGACAAGCCCAAATCTACTATTGAGGCTCAAAGGTCCTGATTGTCTTCAGCATCTTTTCATTCCGAGCTAACCACAGCCCTCCAGGAAGTAGAAGATGGGCATCTCACAGTTATCAAATATGTTCCATGGATGCCACAAAGTTTGGAGTTGAGTTGGAGTTGGAGTTGAGTCTGAGAGGCTGCATCCTATGGTGCATAAGAAATATGGCAATGGACAAGTTTAACCAAAAATGGAAAGACCTAGTTTTTTTTTCACAGACCACTTCTGGCTCATGCGTTCTCTTATAAACTAAGTAGAATTGGAGATCCTCCTTCCCAGAGATCCTTTAATTCTCTGATGCGAGTAGAAACGTATGACTCTGTGCAGCAGCATCTTGCTAATATTGATATAATGCATTCATGTTCTCATTATTTTTCTGAAGAGGTTTTGTAATGTGCAGTCTATGGTTAAAAATCAAGCCACAGTAAGTGTTGTGGTCACCAAAGGGTTTTGCTCTGTGCATGTGCCTAACATGCTGATAATCAATCGTCATGCCTTATTTTTTCCGCTGTTGTACCTTTATTCACAAAGCCTTGGTAAAAGCATTGATGTATTGAAGAGATTAGATGTTAGTGCAAAGCAGTCACATCACTGTTGTGTGACTGTTAGCATATTCCATGCCCAGATGGTGGTTAAGAGTATAGCTGCTTATACATTTATAGATGTAATATATTATTAGTCTATGTCTTATTATTGGTGCAGAAGAAATGTTTATTTTTGGTTTTATTCTACTTAAAAAGAAAAAAACACAAAAAAAGCCGCCATTGTGTTCACTCAAGACAGTATTTTAATGCTCTTTCTTCTATTTGAGGGGCACACTGCATACAGATATGTAGATGTGAGTAGTCAATGTTTTATGGTCAGGTTATGTTTTACCGTGTCTACAAACTGCTTGTATGATGCTGTCTTGAAAAGCACAATATTGTCTATTTTCGCATGGCAGTCATACTTTTTTTAAGGTCACCTTTCATATAAGTAATGGTTTTTAGCAAATGTATTCAAAACAGCTACACCGATCCCCTTCATTGTATGTACTGAAATATATTTTCTATGGCAATGATGCAATGAACCATTGACCCCCCCCTACCTTCTTTGTAAGAGGTTTGCCTATAATGAGGTGTCTTGAGGTGCCTCTGTCAGGTAATACGTCTAAGAAACAGATTTATTAAGTTAATAACTATTTTTTTACAGAGGTTTACCTCCCTGGCTTGCCATGCTTTATGCTAAATATTGCTAAAACCAATCTATAGTATTTTCTGCTGTTTGCACACATCATGTGCAAGTATTTGTAATAATGTTAGGAGGAGGAGAAGGGAATTTAACTTTTTATTCAAATGTGGTAATTTTGAAACATGATTAGTGTTCTGGTTTTCAGGTAGACTTGAAACACAACACAGCTGACCCTCATTAGTATGCTATAATACCTAGTAATAGTATATTACTGACATATACCTTTCTTTGGTTTTGCCAACAGTTAAGATTGACAAATTAGATTTTTCAGAAATTGCAAGATTTCCACTAAAATATAAGTTCACACTGAAACAGCAATACATTTTTTTCTTCCTTTGAATTTCATGCCAGAAACACATCCTTTACTTTTAGTGAATATCATGTAGTTGTATGCTGTACCGTACTCCGATTAGGTACTAACCATTTTTGTTGGAAGCCATCTTTGCATCTTATGTGGATTCTTTCTTTTAGATTCTATTTGACTACAGTATTGCATTAAGCTATAAAAACAATAATTCAATTTAATTTGATACCACACCAGTTTTAGAAACTACCTAGGCCATTACATAGGTTTAGGTTTGTTTCATTGCCTTCTCTTAACTGTAGGAGAAGAAAGGCTTTAAATTACAATCAAAAATGGCATACTCTAATACATTTTATGTTTGGTTCCATATCAACTATACAATTAACTCTCTCCCTTTCTATATTTTTCTCTCTCACTTGGAACTTAGCTCAGTTTCAATCAAAACTTTTTTTGTTTTGTATAGAGTGGAGAAAGATTAAAAGCTACATCAGGTTTTCATTGCTGTCTGTGTGACAGATTAGGAATTGATACAGTTTTTTAGCAGCATGTGTTAGCTTTTTACTGCTGTCTGTGCACTGGGGAGAGTTAATGTTTTGTCACAATGGCAAGAAGAGAGGGCAATCTTCCCAATGGGGTTACAAACAGCAAAAAAAAAAAAAACCCCACTCTATTTGGCCTAGAGTTCAGCTTTAACAGTAATTCATAACTTACAGTTGGACTGCTTTGTTGTTGTTGTTTTTTTTTTTTTGGTTCTCTTTAGTTTGTAAGATCTAAGGACAGCATTATATCATGTGAACATTGTTCCCAGAGAATGCTAGTGCCTAGAACATAAGAGCATAGGAACAATTTTAAAGTCAGTAGGTGTATAAACAGTTCTCGGAACTGTTTGTATTACTTACAGTCCTTAAAGTGTATTTATAGGCAGAACTTTTTTTATTTTAGTTGTGATTAGAGCAGAGAAGGGTTAAAACCCCTGTCAAGTTATTTTGTGCTGTCTGCATACTATTGGGGAAATTACATTCTCTGTCTTAGATATGCAACAGGGAGTTTAAGGAAATTTCCCAAAGTGGGGGAAATTCCCCTCTTAGACAATTGATTGTGCAACAGTGTCCCCATTGGAAGATTTCCCTCTTGCTCTTTGGACAATACTAATATGTAGAACTTCCCCTCCCTTTCTTTCTTGTTGACAATGGTCACCCATACAAATGGAGGGGGGGTCTCCTCAATGGGGACACAGACAGCAATAAAAAAATTACAAAGGGTGTAACGCTTTCGCATTCTATCCACAGCTAAAAAAAAGTTTTGCCTAAAGATACACTTTAATAAGTTTCCTACCTCATTCCCATGAACACAACAGATACATGCACATTTGCATTCCTTAACTGACATTTTTGTAGGTAAAAACTGTGTTTCTGTCATATATTAATCTTTATATGACTGAAAATCTAAATAGCTGTTACTGTTTTTATTCAGTGATTGCAATAATGACATTCACTGTTATTTTGCATTCAGAACACATTTACCATATGTCTTCTTCTTGTATTTTGATAGACTGCTAGATAGCCTTGTATTACCTGTATGAGTTTTAGTATGCTATTGGTTTAGTCATTACACGGGGACTAGACATACTTTTCTAACGATTACTTTTTGTGTTAAATAAGCTTTAGTTATCCGTGGTCTGATTTATAAGGGATACAAGCAAATGCATTCAAGACATGCACAATTGCTCCTTTTACCTTATTTTAAAGTTACTGTTGACTTATTTGTAAGAATATAATAATGTTCAGCATGTATTTGTGGTACAGGTCTGTCCATGTCAATAGTAAATTGACAAATGTAAGGCCAACTATTATATAACAAGTAATCATCTTAGTCATTGGAATATTTTACACTTTCTCAGCCAAGGGGTTTGCTAAAGAATCAGCACATACCATATGTTTTAAAGATAGTAACTGTATATATGTCTGTTTGGTAGCACAGGTAGTTGTAGCTTTCAGATTTTGTTAAATGTAAGCTTAAACCGTTCATTTTGCAAGGAATTTTGCATTAAGTTAATGAATAATGTGAAGCTTTGCTGGTTCCAACCTCCAGTTAGGTACAAGCAAAAATACAGTTTTTAAAATTTTCCTTGCATGCGTTTGAGTATTCTTTGCAAAGTGAATTTCCCCCACGTTTACTAAGCTAAAGAAAATTTCACTTGCATTGTGTAAAATCTTTTGCAAAGTGATTTGCCTTTAGCAAATCAACTCCAATAAGTATATAAAGTGAAAAAAGGGGTGTACTTGCCATACATTGTTTAGGCAATGATGTATATGGGCATTCTGCTTCCATGTGTCATATCAGCTGTGCTCCTTCCTCTGCAGGTTGAATGACTTTTATTTGGCAATGCATGGTTCCTTAAATGTCATGGGAAAGTGCATATTGGGTACAAACATTCAAGTTAAGGTCCAGGAGCACAAGACAATTGAACTAGACCATTTGGCATCCACCTGAGTATTCATGACACCTACCCTTTTAACTTCAATGAACTCTGTATGCAAGATTTAGGGTTGCAATAATAAAGCAGTTGTTTGGTCTTACTGTGCCTAAAAGTCATGTGACCAATGTCTCAATTATGGTATGTTTTCTGCAGCGTTATATAGAGAACATTCTTAGAGACCTTTCCACACCCCCACCTGCATTTATGAATGGCACATAAGAAGCACACATAGAATAGACCAAACCCTGCGATGTCCAGTGTGCCATATCTGCTCTCAGTTATTAATAGGCCCCTTGTTGACCACATTTTATATGGGTGGAAGCAGAACTTAACAGCTGAAATTAACACAGGTGAAAAAAAAAAACAATGTACAAAAGTGTTTAATCAATGATTAAATATCTCTATGACACTTTTATTTTTAACACCTTAAACTGTAGATCCACTTTTGCAGCCAAATTTGAGAAAACCCTACTACATGTTTGTTATATGTTCCCATTCACACATACCTAAAAATAAATTCAAAGATTATTTCTTCCTTTTAGCTGTTTCTTTGGTGAAGGCCTTTGTGCAGATACCAAACTACTATGAGCAGTTTGAAAGTGAGACTAGGTAGGATTTTTAAACAGGTATAAAGCACTTAAAAATGTAAGCAGCAAATTTTAATTTTGTTATGCAATGTGAATGTGAACATATAACAAACATAAAATAGGTGTTATCCCAATTTGGCTGCAAAGGTGCA